TTGAAGGAGTGGATCTCACTGAGGCGGAAGCGATCGTGAAGAGAGGAGCAGTCCTCAGTGGTCTCCACCATCTGGCCCCTGAGGTCCTCTCGCTCGTAGATCCTGATCCTGTGGGAGCTGGCCTGGGGATTCAGCAACAGCACATGGGAAGTCAGAAAACCTGACCTTATTTTAGCAGCAACCCTGGGGAACGGGCATTTCTTTACCTTTTCTACATCAAAGGTGACCAAATGAAAAGAAAGAGACTGCGACCAACAGGACTACTATGTATAGTTGGGCAGGTTGTACACTGTGAAACTCAGGAGGGCGCCATTCACCATTCATTTGATATGAATGATGCTCCCTAGTGTTTTCTGGTAGCACAAGCTACATGAAACATACACACTGGCCCTGCTCAGGACCATTTTTAAGTATTTTATGTATTTGTTTTGTTCTCTCTTTCATAGATTTGTGGTAGTTTGGGGCTCCCCCTTGGATGACATACAAAATAATTAGATTTTAAAATAAAAATACAAATGTATTCCTGGCAAAAGGTATTATTTTGAATCTCCATAGCACTAAAAGAAGCTAGAGGGAAAGGAAGTTGAACTGCTTATTGCCAAGTGAGGCACAGCTGGGTGGCAATTCAGGAAGAAAGTCCAGCCCAGGCAATGCCTTAATCCTTGGCTTTCTGCTTTAAGCCCTGCTGCTCTGAAATGCTGAAATGCAAGAGCCATCACAAAGATCGGGCTTCAGTTCTGAGCTCTAACATATGCTCCTGCAAATCAGTTTTAGGTAAAAACCAAAAATGGAAGTTCAAGACCATGAAGGAGGCCTATACAGGATCAAGAATGTAAACCCTTTAGAAAAATGGAAAGTTCGGCTCTTTGTCCGGAGCAAATCCTGTCTCTCTTGTCTTGAGCGCTTGTTCTTCCTTCACCTGCTTGCTGCTTCCCATTGTCTCAGTGTTTTTCTTCTTCCACCCTTAAAACCCTCTGTAGGAAAGATTCTCATAAGCGATTCATTTTGAGGCATAAACGACTGCTAATAAAGCATCTTTCATTTGGTCAACATTCTATGGTTTGCAAAGGACTCACATGTTGTTGCCTCCTTTGATCTTCCCAACAGCCTGGCACACATAAAACAATCATTATGAGCCTTTTCCTCTTTTATGAGAAAACTAAAGATGGGCACTTGCAGTTCTTAATTGGAAGAGTAGGACTTGAAAGTGGAAAGCCACATTTTCAGGCTCCTAATGTTACTCTTGGGTCCTAGGAAGCTATTAAACCCTCCCAGGGGGTTTCAAACTTCACAAAGGTACCCTAACGGTGGAATTCCAGGCTCCTGGGGCTTCATTTGGGTAACAGTGGGCTTTGCAGGAGCTATTGGAATCTCATTGTTGGTTACTTGTTTTGCCTAATCAGAAGGCAGGACTGAGAGATCCTTGTTGTCCACAATAACAGTTAATACTTGTGTGTATGTGTGTGTGTGTGTGTGTGTGTGTGTGTGTGTGTGTGTGTGTGTATCTCGCACCAGGTACCTCCTTTCATCCTCACTGCAGCCATGGAAATGAGCTACTCTGATCAGGCCTATTTTACAGATGAAGAGAGTAAGAAATAGCCAAGTAACTCGCCTAAGACACCCGATAGTAAGGAGTCTACCTGTTGCTCATTCATCACCTGTGGCACAGACTCTCTGAACTAATGCTATGCACCTTATTCCCACTAGAGGTGAGTGTGGTTTTAGCAAAGTATAATTAAATGTCCAATTAAAAGTACAGCATCAGCTGCTTTTCCAGTGGAGGGAAACCTTACAGATGTTAATAAAGGAAAAGAGAATATAGTTAGAGTCTGAAGGCTCTAACTCGAGGGCACAGAAGGGACCAGGCGGGCCCAGACTCACGGGGGGGATGAGGCGGCAGGAGCGGACCGAGTCGCTGAGGCCCATCCACTGCTGGTAGTCCGGGTAGTCGCCGCGCCGCAGGAAGTACTGGCTGCCCGCGTAGTTGGGCTGCTCATACAGCATCCAGCAGCCGCTGTCCACGCGCACCGAGTTGCAGCGGCTCAAGTAGGGCTGCAGGTTGGGGTGGTCGCTGCTGCATTCGTACTGGCGACCCTGGAAGCCCCGGTCCTCGTAGAAGGTGATCTGCAAGGCAAGGCAAGG